TGGCCCCGCAGCTGCAGGAAGCACGGCTCCATGCGCTCGTGGAAGGGCCGCAGGTCCTCTGTCACCTTCCGCCTGTGGAGCTGGATTCCCTCTGCCAGCAGCGGGATCTGCAGGAGAAGGAGTTGGGTCTACCCGGGATGGTGGGGCAGCCCCGGACGGGGACATGTGGCACCAGCCATCCCCTCCCACTGCCCAAGGGATGCTGCGGGCTGTACCTGCCAGGCGATCAGGTCCTTCAGCTTCTCGATGTTCCCCTCATCCTCGGGATGCTCCTGCAGGTAGGATGCCTGGAAAAAAGCCTGCAAACGGCCCCCTCTCAGTCCTGCTGGTGGGTGGCTCAGCCCCACACAGGCAGGGACGGTGCCGCGCGGGGCCGGTGCCCACGGGTGCCGGCCCCGGGAGCGCCCGCGTGTCCTCACCGCCTCGTAGTTGGTGAAGCCACCCATGACAGCAGGGTCCACGATGCCGTTGAGCAGCATGGAGAGCGGGTTGATGGGCAGGCTGGGGTCGTTCTGGTGCCGGTTGATCTCGCTCATGATTTTCTCATTTGTTTTCATCATGGTCTCAATGGCGATTTCCAGGGGGGAGATGATGGTCTGTGACCAGGGAGGGAGGGAGAGAGGTCAGCAGCTGGTGGGCCCAGCGACCAGGCTGGTCTACCCTGGCTCCTGCTGGCTGGGCTGGACCAGGTTTGCACTGAGAGCAGCGACTGACGGACAGGAGGGACCAGAGCAGGGGCTCAGCCAGAGCATCAGGTGGGACATGGTCCCTGCACGTGGATTGAGACACTTGAGTTTAGAAAGACTGGGCAGGGGGTCTGGGGACAGCAATCTCGGTCTGGATCTGGGGTTAGTGATGCTGCTCAGGGATGGGATGGCCCTGGGAGACCCTCACTCCCCCCAGACACCCCCTCGCCCCCTCCTCACCGTGGTGGTGGAAGTCACAGCAAACCAGCGCAGGATGCCGGGCAGGGGATAGGCTGTCACAAAGGTTGTCCGCTCAATCCACATGGTCTGTGGGGACAGTGACATTCATCACACTGCCCCCCTCCCCATCACCCTGGGACACCCCCAGCAGACCTATGGAGCAGGGAGCTTCCACCCCCCCTTCCCATGGGCCACCTTCCCCAGTCCGGGACTGGGGAACTCCTTGTCTCTCCTGCATCCCCCTTCCTCCGCACACCTGGCTCCCCACAGACCCCCCCTACCTGTCTCTCCCTCTGCCTCCCAGCTGGGGTCCCAGCAGCCCCCACCAGCACTCACTGCAAATTCATTGTCTGGATCCTTTGGGCCTTTCTTGAAGGGCCGTGAGTAGCTGAACTTCTGGACATGGTTGGCTTTATAGAAACTGCCAGGGTGGGAAGGGGGAGAGCATGGGAGAGGGTGCCCTGTTGTGCCCCCTCCCACGGGGGCAGTGCAGGCACATCCCCTGCTCTGCACCGGGACACTCACTTGGTGATCTGCTCCGGGATGATCCGGTCCTTGAAACGGCCCCTGGTTTCCTCCACCGGCTGCACGGTGAAACACTGGATATCTGCGGGAGTGAAGGAGCCACGGGCACACAGCGGGGGACAGGGCTGCGGGGGACAGGGGACAGCCCTAGGGGAGGGGCTGCGGGACGTGGGCAGGGAGCAGTGATGGCACAGGGAACGATGAAAGCACAGGGAACAAGCCGCCCTCCCAGCCCCTTCCCCATGTTCAGAGGATACATTGACCCGGGGAGCCCATGATGTCCTGGCCAGGTGGGGACGTGCTCTTCAGCTTCTCGGCGTTGGGGAAGGGGCTCAGCAGCCTCATCTCGAAGTCCTCCCGGCGCTCATACTCCTTGCCCCGGTATATGAAGACCTTGTTCTGCGGGGCGGGACGATGGCAGCCACTGCCAGCGCTGTGCGGGGCGGGGATGGGGACCCCCGGCTCCCGGGGGCGGGGCTGGCACGGCCGGGGCTGCGGGGCAGCCGCTTACCCGGAGGAAGGTGGGGAAGCCTTGCCCGTAATAGCCCACTGCAAAATAGTCCGGGCTGGGCCGTAGGACCTTCAGGATCTTCTCGTAGAACTTGGCCTCCCGCTGCTGCACGGGCAGAGGGGCGTGAGTGGGGAGGGGAGCCCTGCCGACCCCTCATCCCTCCCAGAGTGTCCCCAGCGGGCGCCCCAAGGCCCGGCCAGGTGCTCACCAGGATGTCACTCAGCATCTCGTAGTCAAAGACTTCGCTCTCGTACTGCTCTGCCAGCTCCTTGCAGATGAGGATGGCCTCCTCCCACATCTGTGGGAGATGAGCACGGGTCCCATGGGGCTGGGTGAGCTGGGGTGGGTGACTCTGGGGGGTCCCAGAGGAGACCAGCCTCATCTGCAGGGCACCTGCATCCCTGCTCCTCAGCGAGGAGAGGTGGGCACTCCCCCTGTGGGCTGGTGGCCCAGCTGGGTGCCAGTGGGGCTCCAGCTGAGCTGCAGCAGCACTTGGATTCCCACTGTCTCCAGCATCTGAGACCCCTTCCCAAGCAAGCCCTTTTCCTGGAGTGTTCTGGCTGCCAGCCCCTGGGCAGTGCCAGGGCTAGGGGGTGAGGCTGGGGTGGGATAGGACAGGATGGGATGGGACACGCTCACCTTGCCCTGGTCAAAGTAGTCGATGATCTGATTGTAGAGAAGCTCCTTCAACTGGCGCTGGGTGTGCAGGTGAGGGCCGTGTGAGCCCTGCATGGGGGCTGCATTGGCCTCCTCTGACCACTGCACAGACACAGGGGAGCCCATCACCCCGAGCCCCAGCTGGGGGACACCCAGGGCCCCTCTGGCAACCCCATGTCCTACCTTGAGGAGCCGGGCATGCAGCAGCAGGGTGTAGGCTCCCTCTGTGTAGTTCTCGTAGCTGACATGCAGGTCTTTCAGCTTGTACAGGTACCTGGGAGCAGGGGCACAGTCTGTGGGGCAGGAAGGCCAGCACGGCTCGGGGTCCGGCCTGTGCCCCCCCAAGGGTTGGTGTCCCCTGCTGGGTGGGGGGGGGCACAGAGCTCCCAGTTCCTGCTCCTCCAGTCCCTCCACCATCCATCCCATGTGTCTGGGGCTGGGGTACAGGGACTGGGGCAGCTCGGGACCCTGTGACCCCCACCCTTGTGTGATGGTCGTCTCCTGGTCTCACCTGATGTACATGGCCTGGCGGTCGATCTCCTTGTAGAAGTTCTGGGGAAGAGTAGATGAAGCCACTTTGAGTAGCCCCAGAAGGGGACATGTCCCACAGCCCCCCACTCCCATGCCTTGCTCTGGGTCACGGTGCTGCTGGGACCATCCCCACACAGGGGCTGCCCTGGGGAGTGGGGAGCTGCACAGTGCCCCCCAGGGGCACCAGGGCTGCACTCTGTGCCCCCCATCTCTGCTGTCCCAGGGGCACCACAACCCCTGGGGGGATATTGGGATGGAGCCCTGGGGGAGCTGGGGACACAGGGCAGGTGCCCACCAGGAGGTTGACGGTGCAGCTCATGCTGTAGGTTTTGTTCTCGTCATTCATAACAGCCCGGTAGTCGAGGAGCCGCTCCAGGAGCCCGGTCACCAGCGTGACAAAGTTCTCCCCAGGCTCAGCCAGCTCAGGGTGTCTCCGGCAGCAGCTCAGCAGGCTGGGGAGGAGGAGGTCACAGCTTTCACTGCGTGCTCAGCTCCACAACCTCCCACCACCGCCCCAGCTCAGCTCACCCAAAGTGCAGGGAAATGTGGGGTGGCCCAGCCCCTCCAACAAGAGACAAAAAGCAACTCCTGGTCTGCAGCGAGACAGAGCAAGCCCCAGGGAATATCAGGAGTAGGAGAGAGACCTGATGGCTCCTGCTGCCTAGCATGTAAATCTGTGATGGGCACCACGGGGCAAGAGCGAAATCTGGGCAGGGCAGGGGCATCACCTGGGGCTGGGCAGGGATAATTCCTGGGCCAGTGGCAGTGCTGGGGGCAGGCAGGGGCAGGCTGGCTGGGCAGTTGGGCATAAGGGGGACATGATGCTGCCGAGGCCACAGCCCTCCTAATTCCATGTCCTGGTCCCCAAGAGAGGCGCCCTGGGGCAGAGCCCAGTGCAAAGAGGAGCTGGGTGGCCGAGGCTCAGCAGGGCAGGAGCACAATGGGCAGGGAAGGGCCGTGCCCTGGGCAGAGGGTTGTGGATGTCACCGCACACTCACATGCTCTCAAAAAGCTGCTTGTACTGCTCATCTCCCCGGCCACCCTCCACCTCGCTGTCCAGTTTCCTCAGGATCTCGTCCTCAAACTGCAGAGACGTGTGTGAGTGCAGCCCAGGCTGTGTGGAGCCTGTTGCCCCCATTC